TGCTCTGCCGGGGCTGGAAAGGCAGCGGGGCGCGTCCGGCTCAGTTCCAGGCCCCGCGCCGCGCGTCGGGCACACGCGGCTCGCCCACGGGAGCCCTCGTGCGCCGGGAGCGGCCACCGCGGGGCAAGCGGGCCCCGTAAGGGCGCGGATCCCTGAGCTGGGGCGGCCGGCGGGAGCCAAACTCCAGGGAGGGAGCGAGGGCCGGCGCGGCGCCGGTTGACCGGGCGGGTCCCACCGAAGGGAGGGAGAAGCGTGTGGCCCGAGAAGGCGGAGCCGGCACGCTGTGTCGGCCCGGGAGCCGGCGGCACCGAGTGTCTGCCATCCTCAGGGTTAGCTGAACGAGAAGTGACGTCTCAGTACTGCGCCTTCCTCTTTTCCATGCAGGTGGTTCCCGTTGTCTCAGGGGCTTTGCTGAGCGTTTTAAAGAATTGAAGTCTCTTTCTTTAAGTTTCTGAAACCATAAAACCTGAGAGTTAGCTTAATCACTCTAGTGTTTCTTACAGGGTTCTTTTTCTTTGGCTTGTGGTAGTCATCTTTTTGATTGATGCTAAAAAGCAGAATGCTATATAAAATGGGGGAAAGGGCATTGAATTAAGTAATATCGAGAAGATTGTCTCCTATTTGGATTTGTGTAATAATTCTTACACAAGTAATTAAGTAGAATTCAATAATTCTTTTCTTCCTCAGACACTGTCTTATTTACAAGGAATTTCTTAAGTGAGGCAAGAATGCCTGTCAAGCTAATTTTCTTATCATACATCCGTTTTATGTAGACAGGTATTTAAACAAATTTAAGAATTTTAGGAGAAGGGGACAATATTATTTTATGAGATTGGTTACAACAGAATTAATGTCAGAAAGCTACTAACAAGCTTTTTCATCTAAATGCACCATATGAGGGCAATACCTCTCATTTTGGAAAATTAGTATGTCTGAGATCAGTAAGTAGGAAAAAAACCTTTTGAATAATACCATAAAGAGTTCAAACACATGTTCAGATAATATATAGACAGCATTATCCAAAAAATATACAGTAAAAAAATTCCCTGGTTTGTGAATCTATAAACATTTTTAAATTTTTTTGTGAAGATATCTGCTTCATGAAATTCATTTTCTGGGATTCTAAACAATATCTTCACAAAAAAATTTAAAAATAGATGATAAGAGATGGAATCATCAGTGTATAAAATAAATGCTTTGAAATAAAAATATATATAGACAGATAATGATAAATTTGTGTACATATATAAAATTTTTGATGAAAAGTATAAAGTCACTTTTCGCTTTACATGAAGAAGCAGTTTCTCTGTTGATGGGTGTTGGTCATTCAAATATCTTATTATGAGCTAAAGAAGAAAAGAAAATTGAGAAAATGAAAAGGCAAGCCACAGACGGGGAGAAAGTCTTTGCAAAATACATGACAAAAATAATACAAAAAACTCTTAAATTTGAAGACAATAAAAACAACACCGAAAATAAAATAGACAAAAATATCTGTGCTGGCACCTCACCAAAGAAGAGATACAGATGCAGATAAGAATACAGGAAGATGCTCAACATCATATATCACTAGGGAATTGCGGGTTGAAACAATGAGATACCACTGTACACCTATAGAATGGTCAAAATCCGAAACACTGACAGCACAACATACTAGTGAAGTTGTGGAGAAAACAGAATGTCTTATTCAATGCTGGTAGGAGTTCAAGTGGTGTCGCCACTTTGGAAGACAGTGGCAGTTTCTTACAAAATGAAAGGCGTTCTTACAATATGATCAAGCAAGTGAGGTCCTTGGTATTTACTCAAATGAATTGAAAATATAAGGCGGGCTCAGTGGCTCAGCCTGTCATCCCGCGCCTTGGGAGGCTGAGGTGAGTGAATTGCCTGAGCCCGCGGGTTCGAGACCCGCTTGGGCAACTTGGCAAGACCTCATCTCTACAATAAATAAAAAACCAGCCGGGTGTGGTAGCGTGCGCCTGTAGTTCCAGTTACTCGGAAGGCTGAGGCAGAAGGATCACCGGAGCCCAGCAGGTCGAGGCCGTGGTGGCCGAGAGCGGCCACTGCACTCCAGTCTGGGCGACAGAGTGAGACTCCAACTCAAAAAAAAGAAAATGTATATCCACACGAAAACCTGTATTAAGTATAATACAAATGTTTATAGCAGCGATATTCTTGATGGAGAAAATTTGGAAGCAGCCAAGGTATCTTCAATAGGTAATTAGATAAATTAGCCGTGATACATCCATATGATAGAATGTCACTTTGTGCCTTAAAAAATGTGCTATTTTTTGTAAAAGACTTGGAGGAAACTTAAATGCATATTACTAAGTGAAAGAAGCCAATCTGGAAAGACTATATCTTGTCTGCTTCCAGCTAGATTATATTCTTGAAAAGACAAAACTATGGCAACTTGAAAAAGATCAGTGGCTATCAGGGGCTTGGGAAGAGGGCAGGTGAAAGGAGTAAGTGAAACACAGGGGACTTTTAGGGCATGACACAGTCACGACGATGGACACGTGTCATTCTACATGTGTCAAAATTCATGGAATGTACAACACAAAGAGTGGACATAATGTTAACAGTAACGTGCTAATATTTGCTCATCAGTCATTTCAAATATACCATACTTATGCCAGACGTTAGTAATAGAGACCTGCGGGGGTTGGGGAGGCGTGAGGAGGATATGGGAACTTTCTTTTTTCTACTCCATTTTTCTGTTTGCCTAAAACAGCCTCCCCAAAGTTTATTAATTTAAAAATCACATGACCATAAAATAAATGGCACATTTCCTTAGTGTGTGACTCTTACTTTGCCAATTTCTTGCAGAATCGTTATTGGTTTCAAAAACTGGACTCAATAGCAAAAACTTCTGAGCATTCCATTGTATGTCTTTGAACATCTTTATATGCCCTAGATATGGTTCCTCTTAGGCCCTTGTGATAAACGGTTCTGGAGTTAGCTTATCTTTAGTCCAAATAGAAAGGTAGGTCGTTGAAAGGGGAGCCCGAGGAAAGACTTCTTAAGGTCTGAAAGGAGTGATTTCAGACCTTAAGTTCAGTTGGTAGGATGCAACATGGCTATTGGTTAGCGTTTCAGAGTCAGCAGTTTTAGTTTAGTTTGTAAGGGTTTATTCATATCTATGTATTCCATATGTGGCTCTTCATGTTTGGAAGACTGGTTTACTTGTAGTTCAGGATCATTTTTCTTAAGATGTTTATGAATCACCTGTTGATTTTAGCCCAGAGATTCTGATACAGTAGATAAGAGATGGGGCTTGAGAATTTACCTTTAATTAATTCATTGGGTGATACTTCATTTAAGGCCTTGGCCGAGGTATAAAGCGTAGTGTCTTGAGAGCAATAGTTTATCTGAATTTTCACACCTATTCTCGAATGAATTTTGCTGATTTAATTTACCTACACATGGTAAAAAGGGATTCTTCCAATGAGGAACATGGTTAATCTTACAGCACATTTCCAAATAGACCATTTGAGCTTATACATTTTCTCAACTATAACTGACAACCTTTTAAAAAAGCTGAAATTACTCATTATGATTGAAAATTCATATATATGAGAAATACAATATAAAATTATATAAAAAGCTTTAATCCAAATATTTTAGATACATTTAAATTGTCAAATCTTAAAGCCATTAGAATTCCAGATCCTAATTGCCTAATTAAATTGGACACAAATAATGTGACGAGAAATTGTCTTCTTAAGAAATACGTATTGCTGATAACAGTTGAAAGCCTGTAGTGCACCTTAATTTCAGCTGGGTGCATTGCCCAGTCTCTTGCACAAATATTATTTCTCTCCTGACTTATTTATTTTTCAATTCATTTCTCCATTTAATGGTATATTGTAACCAAAATTATTATAGCAGCTGCACAAAGTAGAGTTTTATTTATTAGATGTTGGTTGTGTTATCTGGAAGTGATTTCTCAGCTTTTTCACTGAATTCTGTTCTCTAAATATTGAAGGAAGTGTTTCTTCATTTATGAGATCCATGATAACATTCTGAGTAGTAGTTATAGAAATGTTAGATATTTAAGATACTTTGGGATGGAAAGTTCTATGGAAATTAGATATTTTAAAATTTTTAAATTGTATAACCATCTTTATTCTCAGTATCTCTTGGCAAATTTTTGTTGTCAGATTTTTGAAAGTTGAATAAATTTTTCAAAGTAGTTTCCCCTCTTTCCTAGATGTTTCATGGAACAGTCACACGAGAGCTAACGAGGCATGCTGAATGGAGTCACTATAATGAAAACATAATAGAAGATCAGAAAGATTTTGTTTTTATAAAGTTCAATGGCCTTCATTTAAAATCTATGGAAAATTTACAGTCTTGTATCTCTCTTAGAGTATGCATCTTCTCCAACAATTTTATTACAGATATTCATCCACTTCAAAGTTGTATAAAATTAATCAAACTTGATCTTCATGGAAATCAGGTAAGAAATAGCCATTTCAGATATTTGCATGGAAATCGAATGTAAGTTATAATAAGTACTGGTGCTAAAGTGAAACAACTTTAAGAATACATGAATATTGTGCAATTTGGTACATTTCACTTTGAAATTTGTAGTCTGGATTAAAAATATTTTTTTTCTTTCTTCTTGACTCCCTAATTATTTATGTAAGGAAAATAATTTAGAAAAGTTTAAAGAGTCCACCTGTTACAAAGAATTTTCACTGAGCAAAATATATATGGTTATGCCTTCCATTACACTAGTAATGGTAAGTTATTCCAGAAGCTCATTGTATTACCTTTTTTCCCTTTGTCTTCATTTGAATAAGTAAAAATACTGTTTTTGCTTATTAATTAAAATCGTTGCCATTTGAGAAATACTGACATTTATAAGATGTTTAATGTTTTACCATTTTACATGAATTTTGTAGAAAAGTAATATTAGAATGTAAAATACTTTTAATAATTTTTTAGATAAAGAGTCTACCAGATACCAAATTTTGGAGTGGATTGAAGAACCTAAAACTCCTCTATCTTCATGACAATGGGTTTGTAAAATTAAAGAATGTATGTGTATTATCTGCCTGTCCAAACCTCATTGCTCTCACTATGTTTGACTGTCCAGTAAGCCTTAAAAAAGGATATAGACATGTTCTTGTTAACAGCATATGGCCTCTCAAAGCATTGGATCATCATGTGATTTCCGATGAAGAAATAGTTCAGAACTGGCATCTTCCCGAAAGATTCAAAACATGTAACCACCGGCTTTTCTTTAATTTCTGCCCAGCTTTGATAAAGGTAATTGGCTTCATTAGGGTTTCATTTTAAATAAATTTATAAAAAGGAAAATTTTAGTTTCTGAGTTCTGTACCTAAATTATAGAAATCTTTCATATTTTTTCATCATTTGTATAAAATGTAAACCAGTGAATATAGTAGTAATGGCTTTGTAGCTGAAAATTTAGAAAAGTGTATATGCCTACTACATTAAAAAAAAAAAAATTGAGCCTAAAATAATCAGATTGATTAGAAACAATTTTTTGTTTGTAAAATTGAAAATAGATCTCTAATTTATTTAGGGTTGGGTATATAAATGATTCCACTGAGAAATATTTAGTCTTTTTACTGCCTTAAAAACATTTATAAGATGTTTAAGAGGATAAAATATTCAGTTGTTAAATAATTGGTGACTTGGCAAGATTAAGCTATCATTATCTGTTTATAAATTATTGGAAGAAGTTATTGTGGAAACTTGATACCTAGTTAGAGATAACAGAATACTTCAATGGATAACAAAAATATAATAAAATATATTTTCTGATGCATGACTGTTAGAACATATAAGTCATATAAGAGTTCAAAAGAGGGGGTTAACTCTGCAGGTATTAGAAAAAATTAGGCACAAGAGATGGTAAATAAAAAAGTATGTTGCAGGAAAGTCTTTTTAATATGTTCTAAATATAAAAGAATTCACATATACATTTGTAGAAAGCTTGAGGAAGAAAAAAAATCATTTTGAATACCTATTACATCTGAAAGAGTATATAAACAATGAACAGTGATTATGCATGGGAAGGCTGGGAATTATGAAGTTGGAAGAATTTTGTTACTGCATGCAATTCTTTAAAATTATGAGTATATTAGCGATTTTGTAATAATTCTTAAAACTTAGTTTTTAGTAATAATTTTGCTATAGTTTACAATAATAGTTTAAAAAATAAAAATAAACAAAAACTAAGTCTGATGTCTTAACCTGGGCCTTAAAGGAAGAATTTCTTTTAGGTATTTCAGTTGCATAGAATGATATAATCAAAGGTGGGAATATGCATGGCCCCTTTAAGGAAAATCAAAATGACTAAGGTTCCTTTAAAGAAGTAGTGGAGAGTTGGGGGCTGGGGATTGAGAAAGAAGTTGGCTGGCATACTAAGGAATTCAGACTTCTTAGTGAATACAATGGAGATTTGTTGAAGTTACTTAAGTAGAAAAATTAGAGTGGTTCTCTCATAGTAGGTCTCAGTGAATGAAGGTTATTAACAAAGTTTTGAAAAGCCAGTCAGTCCAACATTTTGCTAGTAGATTAATGGGTATAGAAGCCAAATGAGGGCAGAGAGATCAATTCCTATGGATTAGAAATGATGTAATTAGAGTTGATGTAGGAAGATAGTAGTGGCAAAGAATGAAAAGACCATGGAGAGGACAGACACTTATTCAGCGGAAGCCATTGTGATAGGCACTTTATACATTTTATTTCTTCATTCACCAGATATGTACTGAGTATCTAATATATGAGAGGGATTATTCTTGGTCTTGGAGATTCAGTGGTAAATAACACTAACAAAGTTCTTTCTCTCATTAAGTAGAAAGGCACAGAAACAAAAACACAACAAAACAACTATGGAATGTCTGATAGTGTTAACTGCTAGAGAAAGTAAAACAAGGTACTAACACAGGCTGAGTGGTGGGGATTTGGGCTACATTAGCTAGGATACATGGGGAAGACCTTTCTGAAAAATATCTGATTTACTCTTCATCATAGCCTTTGGTGTGGAAAAATATTACTCTTGTTTCACTGGAGAGAATGAATCATAGTGTGGTTCAAAAAGTCTGTCTTGGTTTTACCGCTTTGCAATCAACATTGCATCACAGATGGTAAACAGTGCAGAGATTTTAATGAATTTTTTTGAACGGAGCAAAAGTGGGAGGAGGAGAAGAGTAAGTGAGGAAATATTCCTCTACTATTTTAAATCTGGGTAACTGGAACAGAAATAATCCATTGAATAGAAATGGAAGCATTTACAGGATTTTAGTAGAAGAATAAGTTTGGTCACGGATATTTGAGAAAGAATATTGAGGAAGAAAGATAAACTAGACATTGGAAATGAAGAATCAAAATTTGAAGTAGTATTCGAGCCTTGAGTGTAAACCCAGCAGTCATTTGCTTGAGGTCATAGTTAAAGCCAAGCTCTCAAGAAATAGAGGAACCAATAAAGCCTGAAAGCTAAGGAACCTTTGGGCACAGTCTTCTTTTGTGGGTAGAAAGAGGTGAAGTTAATGAGGGTAACAGAAAATTGGTCCCAGCAGGCAAGAGGAAAAACAGAGGCATAGCTTTTATTATTATTTAGGTTCAGGGAAAAGAGTGATTAATAAATGAAAAATGTTTTTAGCAGTCAAGGAAAATGAGGTCTGAGACAAAAGTGTATCAAGAAGACCTTTTATGGTGAAGAGATGATTGCATCTTTGGAATTGTAGTACCTTGCAGATGCTGGACATAGAATTGTGATGGGTTAATTTGTAATTGCCAACTATAGAATCTTTTCTGAGAAAATTTTGGACAGATGAAAGATAACACCTAAACTATAGGAAATAAGATTAATGGGAGATTTTTTTAGGTGAAGTGATGCTAACTTAACATATTTTTAAACTGAAGAAGATAAGTTTTTATTAAAAATAAGATACTGAAAATGTAAAAATAAGAAAATAATTGGAGAAAAATGCCGTGGAGAAAGTGAATTAAATGCAACCAAAATGGAATATACCTTTAAAAGCTGTATGTGTATCAGGTGCTGATAAATTTTTGTCACCTGTGGAGATTTAATGAAAATTTTTTGAATAACAGTTTTTGAGGCTACTTTTACATTTTTAATTTATTCTGCCAAGCAAGGTTTTTAAAAATGATTCTTTGATGTTTGAAAGATTTTATTTAGTTTATAGTGATATAAAGATACTGTTAGAAAGAAATATGAATCTGTGGGGACAAATTTTTATTTAGTAATGTTTGAAATATATATTTTAGTACATTTCATTGTACTTATTATTATTATTGTTGTTATTATTTTGAGTTGGAGTCTCACTCTGTCACCCAGACTGGAGTGCAGTGGCCGCTCCCGGCCACCCTG